ATAATAGTTGATTTAAATAAAGGAAGTGTTAAATTTGATTAACTTTTTATAATTAATTTTTATTTTTTATTTATAATTAAACATGACAGAAATGGCAAATCTTCTACAGGTTCCATTAAAACAAGGAACAAACAAAAAGGGTGCATATAATAGAACTATGAAAGTTCCTGATGGAATGAAAGAATTAGTTCATATTGTTGCTGGTCTTCAAAAAGATGTTAAACAAATGAGAAACGTTTTAACATTACCAGAAGCTCAAGCATATGCCAAACGTCAAGGTCCAAATTGGGAAGCACACGAAGCAGACATTACGGGTCCAAATGGAAAACCTGATGGTATAAATGAAGTTTTCGTTACTGATGGTCAAGGTAATATTAAAGTCATAAATGGTTATAAATTAACTATAACTGATTATCCTAAACGTAAAGCATATAATGAACGTTATCCTATGCAATTTGATGAAAATGGAAAAGCTGTTAAACAATACATTGGAGAAGGTGAAAATGGTCCAATTAATTCATACCGTCATAATCCATATTCTTATTTCAATGAAGAATTAAATGCTATTGAAGAGGGACCGGATGGATTACCACGATATTCTAACCAGTTTGATGGTCAATATGCAAATATTAGACCTGAAATTTCAGCTAAGAAATTCTTTAAAGTTGCTTTATTCGATCCAGTTTTCGCAAATGTTAAAGATGAACTTAAACAGCAATTCCAACCAATTATAGTAGCAAGAATTGCATCAGGTGCTTTATCTCAAGCATTCAAAGATTTAATTAAGAAACCATTATATCAGCAACGAGGTTTAACTTATGATTTAGTTAAGGAATCAGATAAAAGAAAATTTGAGAAATCAGATGATTATAAGAATGCAATTAATGAATATATTCGGTCTATTAATTTCGATGAAAATGCTAAAAATCAACTTCATGAACAAATACAGGGAATAATAGATTCAAAAGTTCCAGCAAAATAAAAGTTTAAATATATTTTTTTTATTCGATTATAAATGAGAAGACGTTTCACTAGTCAAAAGAACACTAACGCAAAAGCAGAGATTACGGTTGGTTATAACGTAAATGATGATAAATCACGAATTATTCAAAATGTTAAAGTTAATGTTAGCCCGAATTAACAAGGTCAGCAACTCAACCAAATTTATTAACTCGTGACTTACCGAAAAAGGAGGAGAATGAAGAAAACCATGAGAATGGAGACCCAATCATTTTATCTGAACCTGGTAAAGAACCTGTTGAAATTCCCACTTATCCAACATACCCCCACCACTTTCATCAAACATCGAGAACCCATATAAAATAGACATTAATTCTGAATTAATGAAAATTTACCGTGATATAATAATTAATAATTATGATTCAATAATAAATTTAATTGACCAATCCGGTTTAATTATTTTACCTTATGAATCATTAATTCACATTATCGCCATTCTTTGTGATGTTCAAGATTCAGACGTTAAGATTCAATTTTTCATAGATGATGAGGTTTCATGCTGCGGAACAGTTGCAAAAATAAATCCTATAAAGGATATTAGCACAATTAAGATATCAAAGAACGGAACAACAACTGAACTTCATTTAACATATAATGATATTTATAATAAAATAGTTGATGAATATAAAATATCACTTGAAAAATTCTTTGTTAAGGCTATTTAATATTCAAGCATTAACATTATCGAATAATAATCCTTTGAATCATAATCAATAATAATTGACCTTTCACCAGTTTCTATCGTTTGTTTTATTTCTTTTTGTTCCCCACTATCCGGATCGGTCATTGTAATTGTTTTTGTTATAGTATCAGCTTTATCTTTAACTTCAATCTTTTTTCCATCGGGATATTTAAACCAAAATTCCAAAAATTCGATATTGTCAATCTGTTCATATTTTAATCTATCAATTACATTTTTAATACCATCTGAAAATCTTATGAAATGGTCATTATATGGGTTTGATTGAACTAAATTTGAATGAAGTGAAATATAACCTGTTGATGAATATGACATTGACTCATATTTTCTGAAAACACTAAAATTTATAACATGAATGAATTTCTTATTCGTTGAATTTATGAATTCTTGAGGTAATCTTATTCTAGTTTTATTTATCACTGGAAAATAACGCTTTACCATATTTTTAATCGTAATAAAAATGTCAATTATCAATATTATTTCGAATAATAACTGTGAATTAAATTTAACAGTTAGCGGAATTTATAATGTTACTCTCGTTTCTGTGAGTGGTAAATTTAATCCCATTCTTTTAGACCCTTCAGATTATATATCATTTATTAAAGATGACCTTGAAAAAACGTATGATATGTATATAAATAATGTGATAGCGAAATGGGATATTAACATGATTTTAAGTTATTTAAATGAATCATTTATCGTATGGTATGAAGAAAATTTTAAATCAAAACCTGATAAACTTTTTGAACTTGATGAAATAAATAACCTTATTAAATTTCCGCTGAAAATTAAATTTTGTACTCCTCATCTTCGTTCATTGTTGGGAATATTAAATTTTGAAAAAGATGTTGGGGATGTTTTGTATTCTGACACGGTTCCAATTTCATTTTAATCAAATGTGATAAAGTTAATACCCCAATGAGATTTTCACATCAAACATTAGACCCTAACTCTTACCCATCAATACAAAACATTTTATCCATCAACTTAAACACATTTTCTTTATCATATCCGTTTCAATTATCTGGGAATTCATTTATTCTTCATTCAAAAGATTTATCAAATATTAAATTTAGAATAACTGACCTATTTGATTGTGATTTAGAATTTATGAATGAAATATTATGGCAATTTCAAATAGAGAAAATAGCTGATGAGATAACGGATTAAATATTTATTTTTAAATCGTAATAAATGATTAAACAACAGCAACCACAACAACTTAAGGCACAAAACACCCAGGTCCTTCAGACCATTACATACGCCATATATGCATATAATTCAAAGACGGCAGAACAAACGCAAAGGTTGAAATATGGAGATTTGGAGATAGTATTGAAAAATGAACATTTCGAATTCGTTTGCAAAGGTGGTGCAGTGATATCAAATATAAAAGAAATTTTATTTATGAATTCAAAAATTAAAGGAATAACGGATGATATAACATCAATTCCACCAGAAGAACAGAGATATTACGCATTAAATGCATTTCCTAAAGTTTTGAAGATTGGAAGATTTAATTTAAATGAGGAATTCATAGAAGGTTTCCTAAACGACATAATGAAGAAGGTGGATAGGAATATGTGGATAGTGATTAAATAAGAAGGCAAATTTGGTTTATGTTGATGAAAAAGATAATGAAATTAAAGAAAAGGTTGAATGGTATCATGAATGGACATTTGAGACTTTTAAAGTTAAAGCTGATACAGAATGGGTTTCAGGATGTTTAGACCTTAAAGCAGATAAAACATATGTTGATGATTAGAAAGAAGTGACAAAAAGATGTGATTCAAACATTAAAGAAATGAAATACTTCAAACATTATATCCTGTTGGTTCTATTTATACGTCAATGAACTCAACAAATCCTTCAGAAGTTTTAGGTTTTGTTATGTGGAAGCAGATTGTGGATAAATTCTTATACCGTGCTAGATATTCAAAGCAAACAGGAGGTTCGAAGAAAATTAAAGAAGCAAACTTACCCCCACACACTCATACAGGAACTACAAACTTTTCTGGCGACCATAGCCACTCATTAAGAGACCACCCATTATACAACTCAGAATATGAAGCTGGCTATGATGTTTTATCTCCAGATTATAACCATTCAGCAAAAAAGATTTTTCGACCAACTGAACTAGGAGGAAATCATGTCCATACTTTCACAACAAATCCAACAGGTTCGGGTAAAGATTATATGCCACCATTTGTGACTGTATTCGCATGGTACCGCGTTCATTGAATGTGCTTGAGACTTGACCCAAAGGGTTTAGGCTTACCGAATGAACTAAATATATTTTATGTCTGTAATTAATTAGGTAATGAACTGCGGAAATAAATGTTTACGTTAATGTTTTCATTAATGTTTTCAGGTTATTCAATAATTAATTATTTTTGAAGAACTGAAGGTGTCACTACGTCACCATGTGCCACTCGGTTAATTAACTTCTCTGAAAAAATGAGACAACATGACATTTTGACAACAGTCCTGGAAATAAATGTTTACGTTAATGTTTACGTTAATGGTTTCAGGTTATTCAATAATGAATTATTTTTGAAGAACTGAAGGTGTCACTACGTCACCATGTGCTACCAGGTTAATTAACTTCTCTGAAAAAATGAGACAACATGACATTTTGACAACAGTCCCGGAAATGATTTGTCATGACTTCATCGTAATGAGTGTAAATGACCCAAAAATATATTTTAGGTGAAGAGGTGAGATCTCACCTGTTTTCTCACCTCCTTTTTCACCCTCACCGCTTAGCGGCTCAGATTGCTTTTGCTTTCTCGTGAATTTTCACGAATTTCCTTAAGATAGAAAAAATAAAGTTAGTTTTATTTTTATTTATTTTTTATTTTGTATAAAAGATATGATTTCAACAATCGGCACAACAACAATTCAAGCCACGAACGGCGGGACTCTGTCCACAACTACGGCACCAAACTCGCTAGTCATGAATCCTACGTCAATGTTGGTAGAGATGAAAAACTTCATTCCTTCTTCATATACTTTTGAAACAGAAATACAAAGAATAAAGCAAGAACTTTTAACAAGTAATTTAGACTGTAGTGCGAAAGATGAAACAAATGGAGAGGAGCTATATGAAATGCAAGATATCATAGACCATTTGCCTAAATTACCGGAAGTTCAGCAACAAAAACTAACTATTCCTGAATTCGATGAAATTGAAGTTAAAGTTACTGATTCAGTAGAAATAAAGAAGTTCATACGTAAAGTAAATTATGAATTCCTTGGTTTTCATTGCAACCATAAAGTTATGAACAAAGATTGCGACATGGTATATAAGAACATCTCTGACATATATAAATCTGAGGAGTTTAAGACTTACGATAACTTTGTTTCATTAGTTGCTGAATGTGTATGGCAGATAAGAGATAAAGATAAAAGATGTAAAATATGGAATGGACAAATAAAACCAACAACTTTTGAGTTAAAGAAAACCATTGACGCCTTAGTTGTTCTAGCAGGTCAAATTTCAATGTATAACGCAAAAATGAATCCGCAATGTTCAAAATGTAAAGCAGCAATGAGGAAATATAACTACTCCGTCAAAGAGATAGAACGTATGAGAAACGACTATGCTGACTTAAAGAAAGAAGTAGAGAAACCAGCAGAAGATAAAATGGACATGTTAGCATTTCTGAACAAAAACTATCCAACAGCTGACGATTTCCTTCTATCTGATGTCAAGAAGAAATATAAAGAAACCTTCGGCATTGTTAAAACTTTTGACATACTGACAGAAGAAATAGAAGCTACGAAATTGTTTAGAATTTCAAATATACATCGTACAATTCATGTAAAACGCTTATAAAATAACTGGGGTGAAAAATTAGGTGAGAAAACTGGTGAAATCTCACCTCTTCACCTAAAATATATTTTTATTGAATTCAGCAACAAAAATAATGAATTTCATTAGTTAGAAAAATAACGCTAATTTTTTCTAAGAAAATTTTTTATTTTGTATGTAAAGACAGTAATGACAAACATTGAGTTTGAAACAGTTAGAAAGATAGACAATGACACCAAAGTGGTTAGAATAGGTGATTTAAACGTAAGATACTCAAAGAAATACAACAAATATTCTTTGTCAGACATTATAACACCATCTGGAAAGAAAACAAAGGACTGGGTTAGAATTGCTTCTACTCAGAAAATTTTGACAAGAAATCCTGAGCTTATGATATCAGTAGCATTTCATGGAACAAGAGCATATCTTATAGACAAAAGTCTTATACCAATAGTTTTGTTATGGTTAGACCCAGTTGTTGGATATAACTTCATAACTTATGGTTCATTCGACTCAGAACGTTGCAGTGAAGGCTTACTTTACATCGTTCAGAAACCGAAGGACTTCAATACAAAGAGATATAAGATAGGAAGAACATATAATATAACTCAAAGATATGACAGTACAGTCAATAGAGTCAAGGTTGTGTTCGTTAATGATATGAGAGCTGCTGAAACAGAACTGCTTGAAGTTTTTGAGAAAATGTATGGTGCTCCCATGAAAGGTAAAGAAACGTTTGAAGTAGATGAGATAGATAAAGCTATAAAATTATTTGACGAAGTTGCTGAAAAATACATGTAAAGCGTTTATTTTTGGTCTTTTGTGAAGGTCAGAAAAAATAAAGTTAGTTTTAAAATTATTTTTATTTTGTATGAAATGACAGTAATGTCAACATCAGAGAACACAACAACTGCTATCGTTCATGAAGCCATTAATGAAGAATATGAATACATACAATATAACAAACAATTGAGACTCATTCGTTCTGTCAAAGATGATATGTACCAAATGCAAAGTATAATGAATGCTCTTCGTTCTACAAAGCAAGCATATCATTGGTTTGAAAACCAACAGACAAAAGAACTTTTAGAAGAATTTCCTCATATGATTGCTTCCCTCGGAAAACCGAGAGAAGAGATTCCGTATGAAAATCGCAAGAGGGTAGAAAAGAGGTTAGAAATGAGGTTAGATCTACCCTTCTACCCTAAAATATATTTTGGGTCATTTACACTCATTACGATGAAATCATGACAAAACGTCTACCCTGTCAAAATTGAAGTTGGAGACAGAAGATACGTAGTTTTAAGGGTTAATGGTAAATTCAAGGGTCAATTTGATTACTTCAAGAATTTGATGAATTCATGCACAAAGGAATTTTATGATAACCTTTTAACATATTTTATCAATTACGACCTTTCATCATTTAATGTACGAATCATACCGATGACTGAAGCCAAACAAGATTTAATTGAATTATCAACAAATCCTTTAGATGTATGGATAAATACACATTATGATGAATTGTGTGCAGGTATGACGTGTAAAAATGCTCTATTCTGCAAACCATCAGACATGAAAGACAAGAATTTCCAAATGAGCATTAAGGATAAATGTGATAAGAAACAGAGAAGAATAGATGGTAAACAAACATGGTGTTATGTTTTGAAAGAAGAAATGAAAGGATTATATAAACAAATTGAACCAAACGATAATGAGGATTCATTTACTGACGATGAAATACCTGTAAATGAAGCTTTATAAAGTATGATTGGAATTTATTTTTGCATTAATCCTGCCGTGTTGTCAAAATGTCATGTTGTCTCATTTTTTCAGAGAAGTTAATTAACCGAGTGACACATGGTGACGTAGTGACACCTTCAGTTATTCAAAAATAATTCATTATTGAATAACCGGAAACCATTAACGATAAAATATATTTTTGGTCGTTTATGACAAAAATAAATGGTTCATTTACTCACAATATTTTTTGTACAAACGACCCAAACTTTTAACTTCTTTTCTGCAGCTTCTAATGCTATCTTAGCGAGTTCATATTCTCTAAATTCTCTCTTTAAATTTTCTTGTTCCCATTGGTCTAGTTCGTATGGAGAATCTCTATAACCATAACATATCTCACGTTCATGTTCTAATTGTTTTTCGCACATTTTTTAACTTCTTGTTCGAACAAAGGTTTAGCATTCTCTACTGTATCTTCGAGTTCTTCTTCATCTAATTTCTCATGAACTTTCTTGTCTATGGAGTCCATAATTTTTCCAACTGCTATGCAATATTTTGGAGAAGCCCACATTGCTATATAGTTTATAAGTCTTGGGTCTACATACGTTCCTCTAACCTGTTTGATTCATCAGGAATTCTGCATGAATTTTGTATAAAAAGCAACCGCCGGAATTAAGACGGTTGCTATATTCTTCAAAAATGCCTTATATACTTCCCAGGACTTATTTTCCAACAACTTTCTAAAGTCTTTCCTAAACTGCTGACACATATTTGTTGCATTAATGTAACCATCCTTGTCTCTACGTAAGACTTCAATACCATTAATAAGTGCCTTTTGTGAATGTTTCGCCATTAGATTTGTTCGCGAATGTTTTTGCTTCGACTGACATTTCTGTTCTTACATACAAAATAAAAAAAATAAAAATAATTCATAAGTGCCTTCCTCATTAATCCTGCTTGTGTTTCAAAATGTCATGTTGTCTCATTTTTTCAGAGAAGTTAATTAACCGAGTGACAATGGTGACGTAGTGACACCTTCAGTTCTTCAAAAATAATTCATAAGTGCTTCTCATTAATCCTGCTGTTTGTCAAAATGTCATGTTGTCTCATTTTTTCAGAGAAGTTAATTAACCGAGTGACACATGGTGACGTAGTGACACTTCAGTTATTCAAAATAATTCATTATTGAATAACCGGAAACCATTAACGATAAAATAACTGATAACAAAATTTTTATTTTTATATAAATGGATACCCCAAAGCTCAAAATTTACCACGAAAACCGAGAAGAACCTAGAAGGGTTCGGGAAGAGGAATAAAAATTAAATTTGGATTGGGTTTAAAAATTCATCTTTATTAAATTCATCTCTTCCAATCAATTTATTTATTCTATTAAATTCTTTTATTTTTGCTTCACTCAGTTTAAGGATTGAACGGTAAGTTTCTAATTTTTCGATTATTTCTTTCCTCTCTTTATCGTTTTCAACCCCACCGCATTGTGGCTTCTTTTTGTAATAGCATATTTTTGATTTAATTCTGTTTAGTTTCTTTTTATATTCATTGTCACTCATTTCTTACGAAATAAAAAAAATTAAATATTATTTAAATATAATGGAGTAATAAAATAAATCGGAATTTCTATTAATTTATTGTCAACTTCAACTAATGCATTGCCGTTAATATATCTAACAAATTCAGCTATTGTGTCAAATCTTCGTCTTCTTTTTGTCATTGATTTATCAGTTTTTTCCATAATCGAGATGAATCAAAACTTTATCCCCTTGTTTAAAATTCATGAGCCCGAATTAAATTTGTTCACGTTTAACATCATTCAACCTTTCCATTTGCTTTCTAATATATTCCCATTCTTTTGAAATATCATTTTTCATTTCCACTGGTTTCATGTTTATAGTTCTATGCCATGTATTATTATAATAATATACTAACTGTTGTATGATGGAGTCATGATTTCCATCCCAGTATATCTGACGTTAACCCCTAACGCATCTCTAAGAGTTCTCATTACCGCATCAACTATTTTTATGAAACGTATATGGAGAGGATGAAAAGAAAAAATTAATTTGTGGGAAATAATGAGCCATAGCTGCCTGAAATCCTTTATCACCATCACCCCTGATATTATCTACTCTTTCATGATCTAGTAAGTATTGAATAGCTCTTCTTGTTTCCTGTTCTGTTTTCCCTTTCACCGGAATGCAATATAAATATCTAGTGTTAATGTTAATGGCGAATAAATAAGTAACGTTTCCTTTTGAATATTTTAAATGATCGATTTCGTATGAATATGGATATGGTGCAAATGAAGGGCGACTAAATTTTTCCTTTAACGGTTGAATTTTTGGGTCAATTGGTTTATTTAATATCTTGAAATCCTTTTTAAAATCTTTTTGCTTCTTTAATGTTTGAAATGGATATAATAAAGTGAATGATGAAGGATTAACTGAAGGAGGAGGTACTGTCGTTGGAGGTTTTGGTGTTGCAAGTGGTTTAATTTTATCTGCTTTGATTTTGGATTTCATTCCTTCCTTCATTAATTCTGGATGTATTCTATTCATTTGTTTTAAATATGCTGTATATAAAGGTTTGATATACTTTCCCGCTTCGAGTTTATGTTGAAGGATGAATTCCAAAAGTTGATCTTCATTTAAAAGTCGGGCTGAATATGATTTAACTAATGAATCATAAATTAAAGCTTGTGCTTCATTTATGGTCTGAAGGACCTGGGTGTTTTGCACCTTTTGTTTTTGTTCCTTTGGCTGTTGAACATTTGCTACTTTAGACCTCGGCTTTGGCTTTTGCGGCTCAGGATTATATAATTTATATAATTCATCAATATCTTCTTCTGTTAATACTTTATTTTTGAAATCTTTCAACTGTTTAAGTTGTGATTTAGTTTTTCCCTTTGAATATTCATTATTTTTAATTTTGTCTTTAATTTCAGAAATTATTTTATTATGATATTTCAAAATTTCATTTTTATAATATGGATAATAATATTCCATATCATCACCCGTTATATTATTATTATGTTTTTGGAGATATGATTTTAATTCATAATAATTAAGAAAATTTTGATTAAGTACTAAATCATCAATTAAAATTTTTAAATCTGTGTTATCCATTTATATAAAAATAAAATAAGTGTTTTAAGGGTGCCCACCTCTTTGAATCATAGTATCAAAACCATCATTACGGTTCCTTTTGTCTCTTCTGTGGCATTTCATTAAGAATAAAATTTTAAATTGTATTAAATAAATGGCATACAACATCCATTTTCACAACATACAGCCTTAGTGTGTGCTCCTGTTAATGCAGTCTTACCGATTGTTAAGCGAGTCATTGACCCGTTTTTAAGTTGTAAATTAATATTTTGACCATCAAATATCACTTTATCATTTATTATATCCAAATATTTTTTAGGTGTTAATTGCTTATTTTGTCTTAAACTAACACCCTTCATTTTTTTGTGCAATCTTTTTAAAATCACCCCCATCAATTGAACCGTTGAATGATGTATAACACTTAGGACATAAAGCAATGTTATCACCTTGTTTCTCAATTGCTAAACCCAATAATTTCTTCTCATGTGCTTTTTCTTCAGCTTTATTCTTTAATTTAGGTTTAAATTTTCATCAAAACAGAAGAAATCAAATGGTGCGAATTTGAAAATGTTTTTATCATAAAATTGTTTATCGGTAACAATTGCTTGAAATGCTTGAGTGTTAGGAAGACTTGGATCGCCAGCAATAGCCCAATAAGATGAATCAGTATCACCTTCAATGAAATGAAAACGATTAACATCCATGCATTTATACATAAAATCATAAATGAAAACTAAATACCAGTATTTAGCATTATCTAAAGTAAAAATGCTCTTGTAAACATGTATCACATCTATAAAATCTATCTTTAAGCATCACTTGATATGTATCCTCACCTATTTCTCTTATGTTTTTAAACTTATTTGACATACATGCAACGCGTGCCTTCTGTGCATTCATTATTTTAGTCTTTGCGTAATTTTGTGTATTCATTGCATCGTAACCATATGATCCATTAAGTGAAATTTTGCAAAATAAACTTTTTCCTTTATTTCCTTCTAATTCAGCCTTTTGTCTTTCATTCATAAATTTGTTCGCAAATTCATTAAAACAAGTGTTTTTCGTAAATGTTAAAATTGATTGAATGTCATCAATGATAAAATGAAATCTGTCTATTAGATACCAAAGATAATAAGATGAAAATGGTTGATATTGGTTGTATGTTGATGCTAACTGAGTTAATTTCCTCTGTTTCTGGTCAACTGGTAAATTGTTTGATTTCATGTAATTATACATAAAACTGCCAATTGTTTTTTCATCTGTGATAATATCTAAGTTTCTTATTATCGGTAAAAAGTTTATGTAATCATTAATGTATTTTTCATCAATGTGACCCTTTACTTCAGCCACGAATAAAGTATTTTTCTTCTTAATTATTCCCAATGCTTTTGCTTTCTTTGTTGCTGTATCACAAATGATAACACCATTCAATCTTCCCGGCATACACATTTTATGGTCAGTATATTGAATGAAATCATGAGGATTAGATGAAAATGATGAAGGATATAATGAATTAAAATCAACTCCAACGAAATGAGTCATAATGTTGGTGGTGTCCTCATTTGATACAGTTTTAGTTTCTGGATTATATGAAAGTTTATTAATGTGCGTGATTCCTTTAAGATTTACTCTATGTTGAACATTTGATAGACCACCAGTAATTCCATTACGGAGAATGTGATAAGCTTCAACTGAATCTAAAGTCATTGGTAAATTATTTTTTAATGCATAATTTCTTAAATTGATTCTTAAACGTTGAACATCTTCATCTTTATATTTGATTTCACGACATTGCAATAACAAACATTAACTGACAATTTTCTTTAGTATGTGGTTTTTCATTATCGATTCTATCCAATGTTGGTTTATTAGCATATGTAAACGCTTTACCACACATTTTGC